TTTGTTTATTCTAATTTATTAATTTAAATATTGAAGTAAACATGAAAGAATAACATGAAACACATAAAAAATCATATTATAACGTATACAATGAAACATAAATGACAAACGTAAAACACTCATCATCATGGGGCTCACATCCCCCCCTCCCATATATTTTGAGTATTCAAATTTAAAGGTAAGGGAAAATATCTGTGTTTGCAATGTTGTTCAGTTTGCAATGATATATATTAATTGATTTACTTGGATAGTTTTTCCTCGTTTTGAACATAATTTACTTCAATGTTCTAAAGAAAACATGGAAAACTGCTTCGACTACATGGGAGTCTTTCTTGCACTACTTCCTATAAGGATATGGTTGTAAACATTGTCGGAAATCTGTTCGGATGAAGTTCCTCGGGTTTATTCGATAGCTCCTGAGAAAATTGTAGATGGACCTCAGCGTTCTAACATTGGGGTTCCTCGGCTCTCGTAGTAGAATGTAGGCATTTTCTGTCAAAAATATTATTTATTAAACTGTAGTTTTCCACCAGTTAGGTCAGTTGAAAAGTTTTACCGAATGAAAAATGCATTTGGTAATATGAGCTGGCACTATCTAAGTAAAAAGTACGACAACTCCTGACAAGACATTGTCAATCATACTTACCGGACTTACTCCGCCCTTCCTGCCGACAGGAGTATACAATGGCGAAGTTGTTATAGTCGGTTTTAACGACCCAATAGTTTCCATTGGGGTCAACTGGCTGGACTGAAATGATTGATATCCAATATATAAAGTATCATAAATTTAAGGGGGGATTCTTTGAAAATTGTAATTGCACATATGTACGAAATGATTATTTGAATATTCTGTTATTTCTGCATTTAAGTTCATTCGGAGCAGTTATAGAACTTTATTTTATAAGTTGAACAATTCTGAGTCAAGGAGCTCCTTCGTGAATATTTTAATCATGTTAAAAGAGGCTGGCAATTATTAATAAGGTAAATGAGGACAATAATTCAAAAAATGAAACATTACTATTATGCTCAAGAATGCGAATTTCAATTGTGCTCTTGGTATAAATTAAATGGGAAAATGTGCAATCATACAGTAACGGTAATGAATAATATTTGGCCTGCCTATTATAAGTTTTTGCTGATAATCAGAAAAGTGTACATCTTCTCTGTTTTCATGATTAAGAACAAAAAATACTAATGTGCAGTGCTGATGCTGATATGTAAACCATTTATAAATGAAGTCATTGAATTATATTTTAACAAGGATAATTGTGCTTATGGTAGATGGGGACGTTTGTGCTTATGCCCAATCATGTAATTTATGTTAAAAGTAAATGGAGATAAATGTGCTTATGTTGAATGACAATGACAATGACAATGACAATGATTTATTCTCTTAAATGTACAAACATACATTGTAGAGAGGAGGTAGGAAAATGTACAAACACAATACAAAAAATATAATACATGCATTATAAACAGTACAAAGTATCATGTTCAAGTTCATGTCAATTATTTTCATCTATAATTTGTTTGACAATCAATAAAAATTTACATAATTTTTTCAATGCTGAACAATTTGTTGTTGTAAAAAGTTGTTTAAATTTCTCTTATATTAGGTCTACATGTGAAAGAGTTTGAAATATATTTTAACCTAGCCTCTTTAATTTCTTTTTGTGTGCATTCAAAGACGTAATGGAATTCATCACCAATCTTATGAAAATCACATAAAGTACAAATTCTTTGTTCTCTTGGAATACCAAACCATCTCCCAGTTTCAATAGGAACTCTAAGTTGCTACATCTAAATTTGCATAACAAAATTGAAAATTTTCTAGGTAGATTAACGAGATATCTTTCTGGTTCTAGTATTTCTTTATAAATACGATAATTTACACCCTTTGATGAGTTAACAACATTACTTTGTCAGTTTTGGATATTTTGGGTCAACAAGTATTCTTTTTACTTCATTTTTTAACCATGCTACATTGTACATTTGTTGTGTTGTCCATAAATAAGATAATCCACAATCATCTAAAATAGTTTTAACATAGTTAACCCAAGGCAAATTATGCCTTGAAGCTAGAACATACATTTTTGTAGCAAATTTATCCATCGTTTGAGAAAAATGTAGTTTTGCCCAAAAAGAAATCATTCTCACCTTAATATTAATGATAAGTGGAGATCTGCCAAGTTCCCCATACACCTTGTAGTTTGGCGTTTTAGTGTTCAACCCTAGTATATATTTACAATATTTTAAGTGAAGTTTTTCGATTAAAAGTATTTTTTGTAAATCCCCATATTTCACATCCATATAACAAAACTGGTTGTACAATTCTGTCAAACAAATCTATCTGACAATCCATAGAAAGATTATGTTGTTTACATTTTGATATCACTCCATACATAGCTTTTACAGATTTATTGTATTGTTCTTTTATATTTTGATTAAAAGAACCTGATTTTGAAAAATATATTCCTAAGTACTTATAACTATCAACAATCTCTAAGACTTAAACCATCATATGTAAAATATAAATCTTGTTTTATTCGACCTCTTCCAAAAATCATTATTTTTGTTTTGTCAACATTCACTTTTAACCGCCATTTTATACAATATTCATGAAAACAATTCAACATATTTTGTAATGACTCAGGGTTTTCAGCAAATAAAACAGTGTCATCAGCATACAACAGAGCGAAAGCTTAATATACACATGAAGTTCAGTCTCAATCATTTCAGATATTTTCTCTAAACCAGTTATATCATTCATGGTGAGGAATGATTGTAAATCATTTAAATAGAGCGAGAACAAAAAAGGGGATAAATTTTCACCCTGTCTTACACCAAGTTGACAAGGGAAAGTATCTGAAAGAACACCATTTACTCTAATTTTTGCCTTGATACCCTCATACATTTTCTTGATTATTCTAAAACATTTTCCATCTATATTACAATCAAATAGTATTTTATTCCAGAGTCCTATTCTCCATACAGAATCAAAAAGCTTTTTCAAAATCAATAAAGGCACAATAAATTCTTTTTTTTTATCTTTTTGAATATTTCGATGATTGTATGCAAAGTAAATATGTGATCAGTTGTACCATAATTTTTACGAAATCCAGCTTGGTTTTCCTGTATTATTTTGAATTCTTCTGAATATCTATTAAGTCTATTATTTAAAATAGATGTAAATAGCTTTCCAATACAACTAATTAGAGTTATTGGGCGATAATTTTTGGGTTCAGTATCATCACCTTTATTCTTATAGATAGGGATTATTTCACCACACAACCAATCGGAGGGAAACAACCGCTGTCAAGAATTTTATTGAATATTTTTTGATAGAGGGGCACCATTATGTTGCATGAACTTTTAATATATTCATTGTATATGTCATCACTTCCACATGATTTGTTTCTTTTAAGACTTTTTATACTTTGCATTATTTCATCACAAGTTATCGATTCATTTATAGACTCATTACACTGTAAATTAGAAAGAATATCTATATCCTCATTTGATAAAACATAGTCAGGTATTTCATTATTTTTTTCCATATTTAAATCTTTAAAAAATTCATATAATTCCTCAGCAGATGCATTTACATTTTTTCTATTTTTTTGGCCAGAGTTTATTATTTTCCAATATTCTTTCGGGTTTTTTGATTTTAGTTTTTTCAATTTTTCTTTCGTTTGATTTTTATGGTTATTTACACACATATTCAACAATTTTTTATATATTTTTTCTTTACTATACATATCGTCTTTGAGATCTTTACATCTATTTCTCTGGTAGCGTTTTTAGCCTTACGAAATGTTTGTCGTGCGTGGTAACATTCTATTGTAAACCATGGTTGGTGAAAATCTGTGATCTTTGATTTTTACTTTGATTATTTTTTATCCCAAATGTTTCCTTTGCACTTGATATAAGAATGTTACAGGTATCGTCTACAATTTTGTCAACAAAATCTAGATCGATTTCTTCTTCTTTAGTATTGTCAAGAATTCCACATAAATTGTTAATTTCAATATTTTTCTGACCTAATTTTTCAAGAAAAATGTGTGAATAAGGAAATTTGTGATTTTGTTTGAATATAACGATATTTGTGGTAATGATGAATGAGGAAAATAGGAGTCATGGTAAATGGACTCAGTTCTGCTTACATTTCGAATATGTACCCATGGTGCCTAGGACAATTGTGCTAGTGCTGAGAGGGTTTATCGTACCACATGTAATCGTGAAAGAGATTTATTTGTGCTTAAAGGTCTTGTGCTAATAGTGATTTTTTTTTTGCTAAAGGTGAACAAAGACAGTTGTGCAAAGCTGAATGAGGACAGTTGCGCTAATGGTGAATAAGGACAATTGTGCTAATGTTGAAAAAGGTTAATTGTACTATTGTTGGAAAAGGTCTATCGTGCTAATGGTGAATGAGGTCAATTGCGCTATTGGTGAAGAAAGTCAATTGTGCTAAAGGTAAAAAATATCTATTGTGCTAATGATGAAAAATGTCTATTGTGCTAATGAAGAAAGAGGTTTATTCTGCTGATGGTGAGAAAAGTCTATTGTGCTATCAGTGAAAAAGGTATATTGTGCTAATGGTGAACAAGGTCTATTTTGCTAATGGTGAATAAGAACTAATGGTGAAAAAGGTCTATTGTGCTAATGGTTAAAAAGGTCTATCGTGCATATGATGAATAAGGACATTTGTGCTTAAGGTGAAAAGGTCTATTGTGCTAATGGTGCACAAGGACAATTTTGCTAATGATAATCGAAGAGAATTATGCTGATGGTGAAAAAAGGTCTCTTGTGCTAATTGTGAACAAGGACAATTCTGCTAATGGTGAAAAATGTGTGCTTCATGTAATGGTAAATAAGGAGAATCGTGGTAAGAGAATTATGCTAATGGTGCAAAAGGTCTATTGTGCTAAAGATGAGCAAGGACAATTATGTTAATGTTGAACAGGGACAATTGTTCTTGTAGTGAAAAAATATCTAAATGTTTAAATTGAATTGTGAAAAAGGTCTATTGCGCTAATGGTGAACAAAGACAAATATGCTAATGGTAAATGAGAACTAATGGTGAAAAAGGTCTTTTCTGCAAATGGTGAATAAGCGTTGGATGAAGAAAATTGTGCTCATAATTAATGAGGGCAAATACTGTAATTATAAAACTAATCACGTCCACTAGCTTTTCCTGCCTGAATCTATTTAATCAATATCTGAATCTAGTTATATGGAGAGTATTTTATGGTCAATGATATATTTTTTAAAAAAGATGTACTTACAAGGAGAAAAGGTGACGGAAAGTCTCGCTGGATCTTGTGGATTCACAGCTCTGGCGGTACCTTCTACACGAACAGGTTCACCATTTCTAAAATTAAAAAGAACATAAAATAATATGGTGTTCACAGGACACGACGGCATGATAATAACTTTACAATCGCTTAAAATGCTCCATATTTTTAATCTAGTTTTGTTTTAATACGCAATGATTCGATCGTGACAATTTTTCACGACTTTGAAATTAGGAAACTTATTGAAGGGATATCTAAAAGCATTTTTTTTTAAAATCCGTTGAATCGCGTCAATATTTCAATAAATTAATCTATCATTAAGAACTTGTCGGTTATTACAATGAAAATTGCATCATGCATGCATTAACGGTGGACAGGGCCACAGGGGTTTAGTTGGGGTTTTCAAAATGGTGGAGGATACTTAATATAAAAAGACAACCGTTTTGCTTATGTCCTTTTTAGAACAACAGAAAGGTTAAAGGAGGGCTTCCTGTTGATTTAATAAGTGACACCATTCAGCAATGTAATTAATTGTGTCCAGCGTCGCCTGGAACATTGAATGTCAAGGAACTGAGTTAATTAATGTATTCTGACAAACCTTAAAGTGCAGAGAGGCTTTGTGACAATGAGGTATATATGTATGTTTAATATCCCCAGGGGTAATGGAACTTGAAATGATATGCTTGCAATAACAATTGAGAATTAATTTCCTTATTTATCTAAATGTTCTGTTACATATATCTAATTTCCAATCAAAAACTAGTAAATTTATATTTCTATTTGTTTTCTATGTGATAACTCTCTGAAAGTAAAGTGAGTTGATTTCTTGATAATTCAATCTGAATGTAAATTTCGCAAAGTGAAAGGTCAGGAGGAAAAGAGGCCTTATACGCAGCCATGTTTACAAATCTCGTGCAGCTGTCTTAATTTGTTTCTGATGTCACTGGACGAGGACTATTGAAATTAACATAAGGGATTTTATTTCGAATCTTAAAGACAAAGCTTTAAAATCAATAATTACAATTAAAAGTGAATATAAAGAAATCACTGTCTATTTTGATGGGCTATGCCAGAGACATCAATGACAGTTGGAAACGTGGGATAATTTATCTAACATTTCCATCTTTCATGGATACCCTGGCATAACCAACAAACTAGACAGGGATTCCTTAAATCAACAGAACACAGAAGTTCTGAAAATTTTCAATTTAACAATTAATTATAAGAATAATATAAGAAATGTTTTTTTTAAAAAAAGATATTTAAATTTCCTTATCAAGGGGGAAAAAGTGGCCTCAAACATACAAAAGAACATATATTATCACTCTCTATTCCATCTTTACCTTTCTTGCACTCCTGTGTTGACGACCCGGATTGTTCCGTCATTGTTTCGCGTGTAACTTGCTTGTGAACACGTGACTCCAGCTTGGGCCGCTAATTGGAACCTTTCGAATTCGTACCAAATGCCTAAATACTGAAATAAAGTTATGGTTTTTACTAAGACACAATGCAGTTCTGAATTACGAATGCTTTTATTGAAGATTAACCGGAAGACCGTTATGCATCCCTAACAAACTAGACAGTAGTTTATTATATTTCCATTTCAGTGTGAAATAAAATTGTAAATTAGGTCAAAGGTTGTCTAATACCTTTAAATTACACGAGGCCCCCAGTGTAAATTTCGATAGTCCCTGCCCATTGACGTTAAACACAAAGACAACTGCATGAGATTTACATGCATTTTTAGGCCTCCTTAGTTCCTGACCTTTCGCTTGGCGAAATTTACATTCCGGTGCAATTATCATGAAATCACTTCATCTAACTTTGCAGGGATTATCATCGAGAAAACAAATAGAAATGAAAATATTTGAACATCGGCGCATTGTTGATGTATATCTTTATATTTCCATTTCTTTATATTTCTCTGTTATAACTTTTTGAAAATTTCTAGAGTTAATTTAGAAACTTGATCATTCTACCGGAATGTAAATGTATAGCTAATATTCATGCAAATCTCGTGCGCCCGTTTTTGTGTTTGACATCAGTGGTCGGGGCACTATTGATATTGACATGACTGTTCTACAATTTAAAAATCTAAATTTACAATTTTATTTCAAAATGAAATGGAAATATAAGGAATCACTTTCTATATAGTAATACATGTAGTAAAGTATGCCAGGGACATCAACGATAGTTGGAAGCGTGGTATATATAATTTATGCTTCGTCCGTTTTCAAATTATCCCACATTTCCAACTATCGTTGATGCTCTGGCATATGCTCTACTAACTAGACTGTGATTCCTTAAATTAAAAGATAGGCCTAACTGAGATTGTTCATCCCTCTTAGAACTCAATTGCATTACAAGTGGTATTCGAATTTTTGAGATTTGGAAGATCAACTGAATAATATATGTACTGTATCCTTCAGGCTGTAGTTTCATTTATGTGTCGGGTCAACCCTTAATTATCATTAATTGTTGTACAATACGATGCATACAATAAGTTTCCTTCACATATGTACAAAATGCAGAACTTTTCAAGATTATTCAATTTCTTCTACTTAAACGTGGTCATTTACTATATTTTGCATAACAGTCAGATTATAATCCGATTCAAAAGATGCCCAAGCAATGGGTGT